GAGTAATTGTCATGAACTTTATTTCATTTTATTATTGTTAATCATGCTAGTTGTAAAGCGGTTGTAAAGAAACTACGAAATGATATCATCTCGCGAAATTTGTCTTCTAAATGCCTTATTCAAATTTATCAAAGGGACTAATTGTTTTAGAATTCTATTTATAAAAACTCCAGAAATGAAAACAGTAGATTAACATCGATATTCTGTATATTTTATGAGATGAAGACATAAGTCACTGGCCATCACATCCACTTTGAGTGATGAAATTGCTGAAGGCTACTTCTGTATCAAAGCATGGACAGCGGAATCAGTTTTCATGCAAAGTCTGAATTAATTAACATGTCACTGTCATAGCAGATAGTGTAACGGGTTTGCCTTCTTGAGTTTACGAAGTAAACTGACAACACATGGACGCTTATAATATCCAAAATTAACTTAACTGAGGTTGATTGATCATTCTGTATGCATATCAGTGCATTCTAAAGTGTACGTCGACCTTAAAATTTCTTAGAAGTGTATACAGTTGGTTCCACTATTTATTTCTCTTGTTACATTGTAGTACATTGGGGTTGTTCAGTAGCTACTGAATGGCCCTTTTTGAATGATTCGATGAAATTTCGTCCGTCTGACTGGCTAAGTATCTTCCACTGCAGAAGAATTTGTGATAGCGTCTAGTGAGGTTTCCACAGTGGAATTGGGATTCAAAGCATTCTCTGGTTGGTTAGTATTAACTCAGAATCGTGCCTCTGCATTGATTAGTTGATACACGAAGTTTGGCTAAGCATTTGGTAATAAATATGACGACAAGCCGTTTCGACAGGTTAATTTTCGTCATGGGCTCGTTAAGGATGAACTCATGTACTTCTCTTGGAATAAGGTGTCGATTTTTTTCCCTAATTTTATTGGTTGCAAGGAGTATAGAACTTCGCCGTATTCGTACATTTATATATATATATATATATGTTTAGTTAAAACACCCAGTCATGGCTGCAGCACCATACTGAGATAGTCAATTTCCTACGCAAACGATTGGATACCACTATTTATTAATGGAGGCGTTGTAACATCCGACACTCCTATTGTCCAATACAAAGTCCTCAATGCTGACTCAGTCGACAAAATGGATGGTCGTGGAAAATACCCATTGAAACATTAGATTGAGAAGAACAAGAAGTTCAGCAAAGATATCTTTTCGGCGATTTCATTCTCAAGAGCTGTACAATCGCATTTATATAGATAAGTTTACATGGATACACTTCTTATTGTATTATTAATTCTTAAGAATTGTGTCCATGTAAACTTATCTATATAAATGCGATTGTACAGCTCTTGAGAATGAAATCGCCGAAAAGATATCTTTGCTGAACTTCTTGTTCTTCTCAAAATGGATGGTGTCAATGTGACTCGATTCTGGAAAAATTGTAACAGTTTTGTTGACGTATATGACACTGAAATCTCAAGACGATAGGGGACTTGTGTGTTTTCATTAAAAATAAACATTCATTTTATTATTTTACATTAAACTTTTTAATTCTTTCCTTTTTCCATGTCATCATTAACTCCTCATAGGAAACTTTGTCAATTTACCAGCAGCCTACTTTAAATTTATATGAGTAGTCCGGTAGTCTATTGGAAAATATTTTAAATAAGCTGTTATATGAATGGGAAATTAACATCCAAATTATCATGTAATATTCGTATATTACACACACGGAACTTGGAAGAAACTACTAAAGAAGCACATGAGTAAATTCTCTGGGTTGTATTTGAAGTAGAACTGCAGCACTAAGTAAGTCCATATATCACAAAAGAAATCAGTAATATTTTCCGGATAACATTTTGAACATAGTTTATTGTTTTTCCCTTCATGTTACACTAATTTCCTAACTTTGAAATGCATGCTTTTTACAAGTATTCCGCTTATAAATGCGTCAGCGAAGTGGAAAATTTATCAGACCCATGGAACATGTTCAGCCTCACTTGTGGCTTGATTCAAAGATATTATTTTGCCTGTTTCTTTTTACCTATCCAATTCAAGTGATTTTAAAGATTTCAATGTTATTTTTTTTCGAAAGTTACTGCATGTCTGCCGAAGTCCAGGGTTTTCTCTAGATTCTTCTGAATATTAGAATCTAAAGCACTAGAATTTTCTGAAAACAATTTGGTCATCATCATAAGAACTGGTACCGCATATTTTTTAGATAATAGTTGATGACGCAGTCAGCTATCGTTGACACATATCCCTAGAAAGGTGTCGTGAAACACTTCTAGAAAGTTCCATTTCCCTATAGGAATGGTATAATTCAGGTTTCCTAGAGTTAAGCTTAATATTCTTCTTCTTAATACTCATGATCTGGCTCTTCATTTGAATTCGATCTATAAGTTGATTTAGGATTGTTAAGATAGCTTCCCCTGTCTGAGATTGAACCGTAAAAGCCAAGGTTTACTTAAGACATGGTCAAAGTAAATTCAATTATTAGAATTTTAACCTTATATTCACCAGAACATCTCCAAGCACTGAAATTGAAAGAACAATGAAAAGAGTTCTGACTTGTAGTTCTTAACACATTTTAGACCGTTGTATACATAGGCAGTCAGCTAAACGACTACACATCGCTGAATAAATTCTGTACACCATATAGATAGATTTCAGTCGTTCCAAGCATTTAGTAGGCAGATTTAACCAAGTTTCTTATATTTTGTTGCAATGATTGCTATAAGTAAATATGAATCACATTTATGCATTCAGAAGCGTGCACTGATCAGTTATATACTAATGGCGATCGTAATACACTGAAATACACCCGAAGATTTTTATCTGTTACCAGTAATAGTTTACTTCAAGACTCATCATTTTATTTGGTCTGGACCTGTATTTTCTATGTTATGTTTGCATAGTCTATGATATATATTAATTTCTTCCACATATTTTGTCCTCTAAGTGATAATAATATTTAAAATGGAAGTTGAACAAGGTGGTCAAGTTCTAGACACAGTATTTTTGTAGTTATAAGTCTGAATTTATAGTTTTTTGTATAACAGTCGCAAGAGTTAGCTTATTTGTAACTATAAAAATGCAATGCTTTGAACGACTGAGAAATTACACAACTGTATATCACTCTGCAAAGTTCATAATCAAATGTGTCAGTTTCACGCCTCAACATAGTGAGCCACTCTCTATTTAGCTTTAACACATTCACTAAATAAGTTGCAGACACGACGAAAAATGTTATCTGTAGCCAACGGTCACAAAATCCACCAACTCAGTCATCCAAAGCAGTCTTTCATGTACCTTGCTATGATCCACGTATACTATGTGAGGGTTGATGATTCTACTCAGCTACCTAATCTGAAATGGGTGAAATTGGAGTCGAATGCTTAAGCCACTTAGCCACATTTCCACGAATTGCTTCGCATTAGATAAAGATCATTGCCTTGTCTTAGTTTCGAACTCTTCCACTCAACGCCATCAGCCTCAAAGCCGAACATCTGAAACAAACTATTATCATTGCTAAACGTTTGCATCAACTTTATAGTTTACAAATTCTTGTCCAGGCAAAACATTTTGCAGCTATAACCATTAAACAGTTCAGTACATAGGTGTTATTTATTCCCCTAAACATTTTTTTAGCCTAAAATGTCCAGATGTCAGGAAGTATTTAGCCTATTGTCCGTAGAAATAAGTTAGTACTAAAATTTTGAATTACCAACTACTAACTAATTAAATATGCGTAAGTCCTTCTTAAAAATGCATGTAAAACAGAATACAATTACTTATTTGCAAGTTACACAGTCTGCCAAGATTACCCCCTAGGAGTTCATAACCACTGGCCATAGACTTAACTCACTGAGTTAAATTCATGAGTAAATTGCTGGAAGATCAGTATTTTCATACCATTTAATGAATTGTACTCACCCTGTTACTAAAACTATTAAACGACTCAGTCACCCCAAAATGTCTAAATTCCCGTTGTTACAGATCAGTAACTGAGTTCATCGTCACTCTCTAGATCGTAAAACATACCTAATACATGAAAATTAACTATCCAAAAAGTGTAACAGTTGATGAATAGGACTTCAAACTTATGACTGCGTGGTTAAACATCATACTTCCAAGACAATTAGATATAGCTCCCCTTTATGGTCTAGTAATGAATGGATATAAATTACTTAACCAGTGATAAATTGCTTTATAAAGAAAAACACAGTTTTTGTTCAGCGAAGAAAAATTTCTTTCCAGAGAATTCAACTGATTACACTGGATTTTGTAAGTGTGTTCTCTGTAAATGCGTAGCTAACCACTACCCGATTTGGCTAATGAAAGGTGAGCAAAGGACGATGAAGTCTTCAATCTGTGAACACCTTCTGGAGTTAGGTCATTCAGCCCCCCCCCCACACACACACACATGATTTATCCTTTAAAGTTATCTACAGGATCAAATCCAACCACTCCAAAAAATTGCGTTTTCTTCAGTTATGCATAGCGCCAACTCTCGCTATACACAGATAGAAACTTAAATTGTGTTGAAAAATTGTTTTGTTAAACCCGTTTTTTTACCTTGGTTATAGTTATGTTCTTTTATTTTATTATATTTTACCACTTGAATTCATTCTACTTCATTACATCTTCGCCTTCTTTATTGTTATCATCATCGTACTCTTAATTTTATAGACCATAATTGACCTGTTATTTTTAAAATATTAATACCAGATCACTTATTTAATAATCTTTAGAAGTTTTGTAATTCATCCACTTCAACTCTACCCCCTTGAAACACCATTTTAATTATCTTTATTCTTATCATATGTGCAATATTGACTGAGCAATTTCTAGTGCCGTGTAATACCTTCCCTTTTCCGTAATACAAATACGACTGTATAGCTTGAAAATGAAGACGTCGGAAAGCAGTATTTCTTCGCTGAACAAAAAACTGTGTTTCCTTATGAACTAATGGGTATTTTTCGCGATTAATAGTTAACTGAATAAGACCGTTTTGGTGGTTCAATATTTGTATGAATAGTAACTACTGGTTCCGGTGCAATTATACATTTTTATGACGAATAATGAGAACAACTGTCTTTTAGTAATAAGCGAAAGGGCAGTATTGTATTTCGACAATGTTTTATTTACTTAAAAAACTCAAATAAAGTAAGAAATTATCTAAAACAAATTAAATTTTGAATTATACAGCTGAATCCATAGCAACATTGGATTGCAGATGAGAAACAGAACTATGAGGTCTTGTTTGCCTTGGCATAGTCCCATCATATCTTGATTCAGTTTTAATATTAGGGATATATAAAGACTGTGCTGAAGTTGGGGCATAAACATTTTCTGCTTTTTGAGTTAATTCGTTTTCTGCTGCGCGTAAATTTGCCTCCAAAACAGCAATCCTCTGAGCTTCTAGTGATTCTCTCAGCTTAGCAGACACAGTAGCTGCAGATGTTCCAGCTGCATTTCCTCCTACAGCTCCTGGAGCTATAGTGCTTCTGCTCAAAATACTCGACATACCAGGAGCCATAAGAGTACTAGTGGGACCAGTTTGTGATCCAGGCTGATAACCAGCAAAAGTAGAAGGAACTGTTGTGAAGAGTGAAGGAACTGTGCCAGTACCGCCAAGTTTCGATTCTGTTGGAGCGCCAACACCACCTTTTTCAGTAACATCGTAATGTGAAAGTTGTTTTTGAGATTTATAGTAACCCTCACTTCCGAGTAGTTTTTGTCGCAAAATTGGATCTTGCATTAACCGTTTACTTTCGACTGATAAATAATGTGTCACCAAACCGAAAAGACAAAAGACTGTGAAAAATCCAGCCAACACAGCACATGCAAAGCTCCAAGACAGCATGTTTAAATCAGGTCTTGGTAACCATCCACGATCTTTACTCATAACTCCCATATATATAGTGATGATTACGAAACAGGCAACTAAATGAAATGTTTGAAGAAAAAAACAGTTAAGAAGAAAGTTACAATTTTTATTGTATTAGTCTATGCACATGTTAAAATATACGAGTTATCCACATACGCTGCTACCTGTAGCTGGGCATTCCAATTAACTCATGTTGATGTTTTTATGTATTAATAAATATATCATACTCTGTGTTGAAAGGATTTATCATAATATTCAATTCTCTAGGCTGTATCTTTCTATGCTGTAACTGGTGAAATTCTGTTGAGTACCATTTTGATAGCTGTGACGGAACTGGATGATGGGAGCGTTTATAGTCTCTGCCACGTAAATCCTTTTCACTGCCCTAACGTGGCAGGACTACTCCTCACAAGAGGAAACGGGCGAATGCAGATGTCCGGTGCTTGCAACCGGGCTGGCGGGCATGCAGGTCTTCCCAGGAGAGCTAGAAAACCCTGATTGCAAACCTTCGATGTACAAAGGCTCTAGAATCTGAAAGGATCCAATGGCGACCGAACTTGTTTTAGTCACCATCAACCATGGGAACGTAGCTCCTGACGCTGCTTCCCTGCTTTATGGATCAGACTTCAAGTCAAGCGCTCAAGAGTGCCCCCCTGCTCCGATCAGGGCGTCTGAGAACTATTGCAGACCTCACAAAAACTATACGATTTTGTGTGGCGCATCTCTTAGTGCCCGTAATATTCTAATTTTGTATTTTAGTAACAAATTATTAACGATGATTGTGTTCTTTGCCTCTTACTCATAGAATGTATGTCCTGAAGGCTATTAGCATACCATTCTGATCAGTACTAGCAGATAACGTACCAAGACTAAGCAAAGTTTTCCTTAAATTCCTCTGAGTTATCTACGCTATGTACTTCACAAACTTTTACAATCACCTCCTATAGAATTTAACCAGAATGGTCATAGCGAAACATAAACGTGGACAGTTGGCATTACAAAGTAATGGGACCACCCACTGCTCATGATCTTATAGACTAAATAATAAAACACATTAATAAGTTTTCAACTTTTTCATTTATACCTTCACAGCGCCGTTGTGATACCATATGCAGAGAGCTTCTGAGTACCTATAAGGTATTTAGTATCAATGAAATATCAGACATGTCACCCAGTCGTGAATAACACACCCTTTGTGCTTTTTGAAAATTACTCACTGGGAAAATATATCTTGGTTCGGGGTTCGAAACCACTTCAGAAATGCAGGTTAGAATTTTTGAAAGCACATGAAGATACCCCGATCGGTACCTTTCTTTACGTTAACTCTCATCTTTAAACACCTAGTTTCGTGTCACTTAGCTTAGTAGCCATATTTAAAACTCAATCATTTAGCTTCAGCCAACAAAAAGACTTGGAAGCTGTTATTCACAGACTACATGTGCACTTATGTACACGTGGTTATTGACTTAAATTTTTTAAAATTCATTCACTTTTTAAATTGTCGTCATCTAAAATAGTAATCCTGGTTAAACTGATATGTCTGAAACTAGACACCATTAAACTTCCTGTTTACGTTAACCTGTAAAAAGATACAAACTACCAACTAACTTTCCTAAATAAACTTCACGTTCCCCGGTAGAACATAGGGCTTCAAGCTAATGGCTTGAAGTTTCTGTTTATTTTATAGGATGGGGTTGCTAGCTTCATGCCCAACCTTTCCTCTTCACCAGCATTATTTCTGGCTTAGTGAGGTAAAGAAGTGCGTCGGCCGGGGATCGAACCCCAGACCATGTGCATGGTCGGCGAGCGTCCTAACCGCTATACCACCAACGCGTAACTTTGCTTGCAAATGTTGTTTTTAATTATGTTGTTATTAAATGAGTCACTAAGATTTGATTCTTTATTGTGGACCCTTATATGCTTTAAAACAGTAAAAACAAAGAAAGAAGCACCTATGAGGCCTTCGGTTTAGTCGACAATAAAATAAAACTGATATTGTGATTCTGCACGTTATTATATAAGATATTAAAGGCAGTTACATGATCACTGCACTACTACTGAAGCTGTAGAAAATAAGCACTATTTGTATCTATATACTGTAGATGCAGAGAACGCCTGACAATTAAATGTGAGAAAAATATGTACTCAAAATTAGCCACATCTATTATCTGAAGGATGATGATAATAAACAGCTGTCTAAACTCTAGTCGGTGGAGCATGACTATAACTTGTGATTAACTGGGTGAAGTAAGTACGCCTATACCAATGAGTTACAATCCGTAGGTTTCAACTAATTTAAGGATTAGTGATTATACCCTGCAAATTAAACCGTTAAACACAAGTTAGGAGCTGAGCTAGCTCTCATAAATATCGATCACATCACGGAAATTAACACCATCATTCTAACGCTCACTAACCGTATCACTGATTACTTGCAGTGAAATACTGACCCTCATCAGGAGAGGCACAAGTATCTCCTCAATAATAAGCAAAACCTTTATTTACAACTTCGTCTCCACACACACATAAATGCTGTTGAATACTAATACACACACTTATAATGAAAAGTTATGATACTTATTTGATGAGCAGTGTATAATACTTACGAGCAACAGACTGTAAACCGATAATGACAAAATGAGGTTTCCTTTCTTTAGTTCCATAAACTTCGCACAAAATGAGAATGATCATCAAAAGTCCAGCCAAATTGCATATCAGACAAATAATTGACAATATTTGAACAACATAGAACCAAGCTAAAATAAATTTAGAAATTTAGTATTAAATTACAATTACACTTTGATGTTGAATTACAGTTAAATAATATCACTGATTTCAATGCTTTAACAATCCACCCTCTCCTCAAGAGCATTAACCCATATTAATAAAGCTTCCTATTTTAACAGTTTCTGTAATGTCAGGAAATACACTAGAACTATTCGTTTCGGGTGATACATCCTAGTAAAGAGCGATTTCATGAGACAGTTTTCGGGTCAGAGGCATATTTCTCCACTTAATGCAGACATCCTAGTTATTTTCATCAGTGGTATCTCATTAATTCTTAAATTACACTGATATATACAACAGACATGCAGCAACAACACAAGACCTCCAACTAATACCTAAATGTGTAGGCTGCTGAAAAGTAACTCCCAAACTCCATAGAATGTGATGTGAAAAAGACGACGAAGCGACGGTTATGGAAGTAAAAACAGACAATATAGTGTGCGAAAAATAAAAAGATAATACAGAGATACTATTTTTGTCAATAACTGCAGGCCGGGTAGGAATAAATCTGCGTTACTGTGACTAATTCCTAACTTCACTACAACGAATCTGTAATCATGAGTTTTGGTTATCTTTGTCATATCTTTGCCAGAGATGACGTAAGTCGGTAAACTCTTCCAGCCTTCTGTAACCCTGCTACAACTTCACCAGCACTCATTTCACTAGGGCTGACAAATTTTCTAAATGAGTGGAGTGGTTAACACGCTAATCCACATCACTCCCTGTGTTGAAAACAGACAGACAGACTCCCTATCTTTAGTCGATTTCTCATCAGTCCTGCAGCATCATCGTATATCTGATAGGGGTAGATTGCATGTCAAACATGAGAATATTTCTGCCCAAGATATTTAGAAAACTCTGTATTTTGCCAGTCTTCACCCGGAAAGACTTTGTTATCTAAATTGCAGCTGCAGCCTGCCACATAAAACAAATGTTACTGGAAACTGAAACTTAACTATGCACCGCAGATGAGTTACCGCCAGTGTGGCACAAGTATGATCGCAGCATACTATACCATTACTACCTAGAGGTATTTCAGGGGTACACGTAAAAAAGCAAAGCGGAATTGAAACTGATAGTGATATGGCTTAAAATCGGCCACAATGATGTAAATGTATTCACTTCTTGCAGTCTAGTAGATTATGAACATTTACAATACATGTAAGTAAATTACTTTTCTATTCCACCTTTGTTACACTCGGTTTACAATAAAAGTATATTGATCTTCTTCGTTAAACTTGCCTTTAACGAAGAACATGAGGATGCTGTCTGAAACATGTTGTAAAACAGTAAATTCAACTAACTTCACACGTTAGTAATACATACTACAGTGCAAATACTATTTCAAAATAAAAACAGACTTTCAAAAAGTTCAAGCCAGTCACTCTAGACCGCACCAATACTAACCATAACAAAACTGTATACGAGTGTAGCACGTAATTGGAAGAAACCTATTAAATCATCACAATTAAACTTACACCAAGTTTCCTATGGGCCCAGAAAATTTTTATCTAACTCTTCGGCTACCAAACCCTTAAAATTTATCGAAAAACAAACGTACATTTGAATTCATACACTTGTGTCGCAGGAATAACATAGAGAGTACTGTACCTCAACCATGAAACCAAAGACATTTAGCGAACATATCTATTTCCATTGTTCAGTAAAAACCACAAAGACAATATTCGACCGCTGTGGCTGAACTGTCATACATATATAAATATATATATATATGAATCAAACTGCCTGTACATAAATCAGGTCATTTGACTAGTCAACTAGATGATATATGTGCTTACGTGGATTAAGCCAGAATCTGATGTACTTATATTCAGGATAGTAAATGTACCAACATCCCTGATAAGCTTTAGACACATAATCTTCTGGAAAGATGAAATTCTCGAAGCAAACTTCCCATAGGCCAAGTCTTTGAAATCCGATGTTTGAATCTGACTTTGAGACAATCCAGTATGGAGAAACAAATCCAATTATATTGGAGATGGCTGCAAGAAAAGCAAAGATTACAGCTATCGCAAACGAAGCATGCTTCCCCCTACGGACAACCAGTTGCATATTTCCGGACTTTCCCAGATTTCAAAGAGAGACATTAGCAGCAGTAAGCAGGACAATAAAAAAGTAATTCGCTTAAACACATAATAGATTCAAAGTCATATTGTTTTAAAAAGGGAGGAATACATCATTTCTTGACTATTATGCATCAAGTTTTGTCTGTCGAAATCTGAAACTAATCAGTCGGATGCAGAGAAGCAACTTCCTCAACAGTTAGCGTCACGCTTGGACAACCAAAACTAAACAGTGATGTCATTCATCCCTGTTCTTTAAAATGTTTTGGTGTGTCCTCTGGGATGTTCAAGTTCGATGGAAAGAAAATGGGAACGTGACTTACATTGATTTTTACTTCTTGAACAGATTAAATACATAGTGTTTGCCTGTGTTTGCGAATCCTGTGTGAAGACTTTGAACAATTAATCTGCTACTACCTCTGTTTCTCCTATTTAACGCGACTGTAAATAATTAGGCCATCGTTGTGGAGTTCTGAGAATCATAAAGAGTGGATTTATTGACGTGATGGACTACAATCAGTGAGACAGAAGATTCTACCAGCTCACAGGTGAACGAACTGTCTGTATCTGCAGTTCTTCACTGGATTGGTGTGGACTGAAATCGCAGATTATAAGGCATCAACACTTTGACACCTACCATTCTTATTTCGTTACGAAAACATTACTTCCAGAGCAACCACAGTGGATAAATTTCACCAACCCTTGTCCCTTGTATTTTGGCCTGAAATGTAGAACTCCTAATGATCCTTTGTGTTGGGCCGCTTCTGTGCTAAGAAATGCCAAGGTGTAACAACAGAAGACAAGGGCCAGACAACAGATAGTCTATTGAGAAAATCAAGAGATATTTTTAGTTTCTATGTACATTCTTGTTCGTTATCGTTAGGAGAGAAGCAACGTCTTCTGATTGGTTGTTTTCTTGCTGTAGGTCATTCTGTACTGCCTGTGACCGTTCCTTAGAAAGTTAAGCTATATATCCGCGAATTGTATTTGCGCACATTAGGCCGGCTATGATTGACTGGTGAGTGCCGCAAGGTTAAGCTTTGTTACTGTTTTTCCTCATCACTCCAATTCGGGACGTAACATTGACGTAAATTGCTGTTTACAATTTTCGACTTGCAGCCAGCCCTCACTACAAAGGTACATGAGAACTCCAAACCTCTGTCTCCCCTTTAAATTGTGGAATTCCGAAGATTAGCTTTTCTGTCACTTATTTTGGGTGTTATCTGGTAATTTCAGAACGAAAACAACTGTGTATCTGGCTAACAAGTCCATTTTATTGTACACCAATTAACACAATATAATAGGCCTATTGAAGAAAGGAATTTTGTGATATCTCATGTTCTTCTTCTTGGCGTCTGTCAAAGACGTTACATTTTCTCTGACTGTACTTTAGACCTTACTCAAGTGATGATTTCCCACTCCTCATAAATGATCCCCCTCTACCTGTTTTCTGAAAGCTCAGCATCTTTCTGACTAACAGGAGTGATCGTGTCCACACAGATATTGACTTGCTCATGAGCTTGCTGCGTTCCCACTGAGGATGAACCATTCGTGTTAAACTTGGACCTGTCATTGAGGCACATTCTGGGGTTGGCATCGTACTGACAGAGTCATCAGTACCTCGGCTATGGTAACTTGTGTGATTCTCTAGTGCTACACTGAGCATCAATATTGCCTTTAGCATGAGCTGCTAGCGTTTAAGGAGTTTGTGGCAACATTTACATGCCGTCAAGTCGGGATTGGCTTAGTTTTGTAGAACATTCGGCAACAGTCATTACATTGTATACCGTTACTCGCAGAGGAATAAAACATTCTAGGGGGCTATAAAGGGTTTGAAAATCTATAATGTTGTACAGTAACCGATGTGTACAGCACTATTTTGATATTAGCGGATTTATGAGATCAACTCTGCTACTATAAACAGATTTCATAATCGTGGTGGATCTTGCTTTCGACGCTCATATCATCCTACCCATAATCATATACTATCTTGAGATCATCTGCAAAGAGGTGTGGCTTGATCACAGAGACTATGTTATCTATGAATAAGAAGAATAGAATAGGGCCAAGAATGCTTCCTTGTATTACGCCGCTAGTTATCGGCCTTGATGGAGACAGCTGGTGGTTGATTTTGACTAATTGCTCTCTTTCTGTGAGAAAAGAATTTATCCATTTGAGAAGTTTCCCAGTTATTCCTTAGGACTGGAGTTTTGTTAGGAGTCTGATTTGTGGGGCTTTATCAGAGGCTTTGCTAACGTCGAGGAATAATGTTGTTACCGAACGCCCATTATCAATACATTGTGTAGCGTAGTCAAAATAATCCAAGTGGCAAGTAATGCACGAACTTCTACTTAAGAAACCGTATTAGGATGGGGATAGTAGGTCGTTTGGCAGCAAGTACTGAAAGATTTCGGTCTTTACTATCTTTTCCATTACACGTGAAACTACAGATGTGATGTTGATGGGGCGGTTGTTGTTGATATCAGCTATAGGCCCGTATTTATGAATAGGTACAATATAAGACTTCTTCCAGCAGGTAGGGTATATCCCATCACTTAGTGAAATTGAGCATAGCTTGAGTAGGAGTAAATTCATGTCATTGCCACCGTTTCTCAGCAGAATGGAAGATATACCGTCTGGACCAATAGTGTTACCAGCTTAAGATTTGCGACAGCTTTATCGATCTCGTGTGTGGTGAAAAGTATGTCACTTAAACATTCATCTGTTTTACGTGGGAAATCCACGACCTCTTCGTTCTCTAAGGTGTATAACCTGGCGAAGTGCTTGCTAAACAGTTCACGTATCACCTCAGTATTTTCGTAAGCAATGCCGTCTAAGTATATTATTTTCGGATGGGCTGTTTTGGAGTTCGTCAACCTACTTTTGAAAAGTTTGCTATTTCTCCTGAGTTATGTGGCGCCTGAATGGCCCGCATTTCTTTGTTTCTGAGGCCTATATTTCTCAACTCTTCAATTCTACTGAGATGGGTCGTAACAGCGATTATTGATGATAAGTCAAGACATCTGTGGTACTTTATTGAGTGCTTTCGTAGACTTCTCCTAAACGACGTCGGAATATAATCGCTTTGGGTGAATCTGAAGCTAATGATCTTCTCAGGTGCAATGACGTCATGAATTGAGTTAATATTCTGAAAGCAGCATGAGAGATGCGGAAGCAGATAGCAAATGTTGACAATTTAAAACAAACAATATATGGTAACCCCAGTGCTCATCCCGTTTTTATAACGTTAATTTATAGTCACTGAATTTTATAGAGTTCCCCATTAACGGTTAGTTTTAGTGCCTAGTAGTAAAAAAAAAGGGAGAGAAAAGGATGATTGGCCGTACTGATGTTGGGCAATAGTAAGAACAGATAAAAAGAGAGTATAAAATGTGTGAAAAAAAGAGGGTTTAATAATATTCATGCCGTTGTTCCGATTTATACAGTTCAATGTCCTTCTGAGACAGTGAAATCATGCTATGTGCCCGTAAGCAGAGAGTTTATTCCCAAGCTGTGGCATTCAGGCAGTCTTTATCTTTATTTTCGTTGAGGTCATTCAAACTCAGAAACCTTGGCAATAGAGCGCTACTTCACAGATAAGGGTGTAGCTATCCAGTCCCCACCATCACCGCTAAATAGCAGTCACCACCTTCCCACCCTTTCATTTACTAGGCCCTGGCGAAATTCTGCTCCTTTTCAAAAGTTTTATTCTCATGTGTCACCTAGACTGTTTTCGCATTCATTAGCTAACTCAACGAAATTAATGGTATGAACAATTACTTTTAACCAGCCATTCTGTACGTTTCTCTGCAGCAGCATTTTAAAAACATATCTACAATAAAAACGTAAAGAAATCAGAAGTTCGTAGTTTACCTTCTAGATTTTAGATACAAACATATGAAAACGAAGGGGCAATATGAGAAATTACGAAGAATGCTGCGTAATGGTACATCAATAAATAAATACATATATATATAAGAAGCGACAGTTGTAAATTATAACATATGTTTTAGAAGAATTCGACTACGGAGAATTATAGTAACAGAACAGTAAAATCAAATCCATTAATATTTTAGATTCACAGTGTAGTTAGTTTGATTATTTAGACGATCACCTTCGGAGCGAGAATTTGCGTAGACGGTATTTACACACAGCATTGGATAATTACCAAAGGAGACTTTAGTCCCAGTTATTTTCAGGTTATTTACTGCTCGACCATGAGATATGACGCTTACTACACTGATATGCTCATAATACAATGTTGTGAAGGATATACGCTATAATATTTGATTAATTTTACAACCAGCAGCTGTGGTCAAATGGAGTTCAATAACTCATAAGGCATGGCAGATGATCCTGGTAGAATTTTTCGGGCAGTGAAGAAGATGTGGCAGCAAAGAGAGTAGTTCATTCAGATTCTGTGCAACCACCGTGATGAGCACATTAGGCCGTTTACTCCACTCCGAGTCTGTATGAAAGGATTATGGGCATTTTGAGGTCAGGCTTGCTAAGCAAATAATCGAATGAACTAAAAAAGGAACTTGGTACAGCACTAGTGCAGCGTTGATTGTATTAAATTATTAATAAAATAATTATGATAATTCTGGCTGTTTCTCTTAATTTGTTGAGTGAACAGAATCGTTTAGGCAAGCGAGTCAAAGGGGAAAGAAGCAATATCGCGAACTTCCAGTGTGTGGCAGACTGTGTCAATACTGTTTTCGAAGAGATATTTATTTAGTAGATAGACGTTACGGTGTATTGTGGTGGTTTTGCTTATATTTAACCGTAGAGAAGCTGGAACAAGACTTCTTTCGACAAAGAATATGAACTAGAGAAGACACGTTACTGCGTAATTCATACGTTGAAGAAGTCAAGGTTATTACTGGGAACGTATGCTATTCCTCTGAGAATTTTAAATATGATAGTGAGGCTGAGTCGTTGGCGGCTGAACCAGAGGGGTTCGATCATAAGAGTTGTGCAACGGTAGTTGTAAGGAACTTTTAGACTTGTTCTCGAAATTCTACTTGCGAATCTCTTT